GTGGAGCCTTAGTTATACATTTTTTCTTCACAAGCACTGATCACATAAGATGTAATTGATTCCCATGTAAAGAATTGCTTGGAAAAATATTCCATCAATGTTACTGGTGTGCGAGAACGTAACTTATAGTCTTCATCATCACTAGTTGTCGGCTGGGAAGACACTCTTCTTTTTCCTCCACGTCTTTGATTTTGGCGAGAATAAGGTCCCTCTTTGTTTTGGGGTGTTTTGGCTTATTAGTTGGAGGAGATGAATGTTGTAGCTTACGCACTCTCCGAGGTTTCACCATAGAACATTCCCCCAAATCTTCTTCAGTAGCCACAAAATCATCCAAAGGAGGCCACCCACTTAGTTTGAGATCTAAAATAGGTGCTCCAGGCATGAGCTCTGAGTTGCCTAGTAGATTAGATGACTGTGTGTTAGTTATCGATGTTCGATATTTATCCTTTTTGCTGACAAAGGTTGACCAACCATCCTCGATCTCGTCTTCTGATTCAGATGATGATGCCCAAACATCTAGATCATCTGTCATGAGTTCATAAAGCGTTGGAATGTTGGGATTTTTAGGCCTCGACATACCTGGTTATGCATATACCGTTGTTATCTCGTTATCAACAATTAACTGTACTTGCACAGCTCCTTTAGGAAAAGGAACGGTAAGTTCTTTACTTTTGATTGACGATGTTTCTTCTGCAGGGATAAAAGAATTCAACGGTTGTGATGGTTCTTTAGGATGTATCAGAGGTGATATTGTGCTCCTTTGTTTGAAATTAGTATAGGGTTGAAGGACCCAAAAGTGACCATTGTCACATTTGCAGCTGACATTTCTTCACTAGAATCGATTTTAATTTTTTTTCTCATTCAATAAATGAAGAATCTCTTCCTTTAAGATAAAACATCTTTCAATTGGATGACTAATAATCCGATGATATTTTCAATACTTCAGATTATCAACCCTTCTTGATTATTTTGGCCGCTTGGGTGTTGGAAGCTCAATAAGTTTTAACTCGAGTAAGTTGATCAAAAATATCTGACACTTCATCATAAGTGAAGGGATATTTTTTCTCTTCAAATTCTTTCAAACTTGGTCTCGTCTTCTTTTGAGTCTGATCTTAATTAAATTTAACTTGGAAGTTTGTCTTTGGCTTTTTATCAATAATCTTCACCGATGTAGTGGAGGTTGCCAAAGGTTCTTTTGATTTGGAGGCTTTCATGTCTTTCTTCACGTCTTTCTTTACGTCTCTCTTTTCATGAGGGTCACTGAGAAAGTAATTTTTGTGCCTAAAAATTTGAATTTCTAAGTCATGGGCCCGTGTTGCAAATTCTTCAAACGTATGGGGCGTGTTTCCTTGGAGACTGTAGAGTAGTCCCCAATGCATTCCTTGGACACACATATCAANCCATAAATTTGTAGACTTTAATTAATTTATGGAATTTAAGTCCATCACATTTTACTTTTGAAAGTTTATTTAATTTGGGCCTACAGAATTTAAGTTCATTTGAATTTAACAAGTCTGATTAATTGCATTTGGGCTTGTATTATTTAGGCTATGGAATTTAGGTCCAGTTTAATTTAATTTGACAAGCCTTATTAATTAAATTTTGGCTTGTATTATTTAGGCTATGGAATTTAGGTCCAATCCAATTTTATTTATCTAATTAATTTGAGTTCAATTATAAACATTAATTTACTAATTTTTTAATATCTACATTGGCACCGCCGCCTAGTTGTCACAGTGCTCCTTTGCTTAACATCTAGCGCAAACAAGGCCTGCGTGCTCCCAACACTAAGGATTTGACACCTGCTCCTGGTTCCTAGCCTCATGGTGCCCCTTATAGANTTTGAAACTTCGGGGGTTGGTAGCCTATTGACATTTGTATCTCATCAATTCATCTGGTATATGGCTTCGCATATACTAACAAAGACTGGGGAGCTCCTCCATACTGGGCTCGAATGGTATCAGCAATCATATGTTGAAAGTTGTAGGATAGAGAGTGCGGCAACAGACATTTGAGAAGAATCTCTCATGGCATTTTGTGCCNTCAGATGATGATGCCCAAACATCTAGATCATCTGTCATGAGTTCATAAAGCGTTGAAATGTTGGGATTTTTAGGCCTCGACATACCTGGTTATGCATATACCGTTGTTATCTCGTTATCAACAATTAACTGTACTTGCACAGCTCCTTTAGGAAAAGGAACGGTAAGTTCTTTACTTTTGATTGACGATGTTTCTTCTGCAGGGATAAAAGAATTCAACGGTTGTGATGGTTCTTTAGGATGTATCAGAGGTGATATTGTGCTCCTTTGTTTGAAATTAGTATAGGGTTGAAGGACCCAAAAGTGACCATTGTCACATTTGCAGCTGACATTTCTTCACTAGAATCGATTTTAATTTTTTTTCTCATTCAATAAATGAAGAATCTCTTCCTTTAAGATAAAACATCTTTCAATTGGATGACTAATAATCCGATGATATTTTCAATACTTCAGATTATCAACCCTTCTTGATTATTTTGGCTGCTTGGGTGTTGGAAGCTCAATAAGTTTTAACTCTAGTAGTTGATCAAAAATATCTGACACTTCATCATAAGTGAAGAGATATTTTTTCTCTTCAAATTCTTTCAAACTTGGTCTCGTCTTCTTTTGAGTCTGATCTTAATTAAATTTAACTTGGAAGTTTTTCTTTGGCTTTTTATCAATAATCTTCACCGGTGTAGTGGAGGTTGCCAAAGGTTCTTTTGATTTGGAGGCTTTCATGTCTTTCTTCACGTCTTTCTTTACGTCTCTCTTTTCATGAGGGTCGCTGAGAAAGTAATTTTTGTGCCTAAAAATTTGAATTTCTAAGTCATGGGCTCGTGTTGTAAATTCTTCAAACGTATGGGGCGTGTTTCCTTGGAGACTATAGAGTAGTCCCCAATGCATTCCTTGGACACACATATCAATCAAAGAGGCTTCACTAATAAATTCCTTACAATTGAGAACAAAACTCCTCCAGTGTTCAATGTAATCAATGATAGGTTTGTTTTTCTTTGCTTTGTTCCTGCAAGTTCAGGAAGACTTACCATACGTCCAGTGCTGTAGAAACGAGTGAGAAACTCTCGTTCAAGTTGGTCCCAACTATCAACAGTCTCAGCTGTTATATCAATGTACCAATCAAACGTAGCCCCTCTGAGGGAACGCACAAATTGTTTCACCATCAGGTCGCCGTAGGTATCAGCATTATTGCATTTTTCAATGAAGCGAGCAACATATTGTTTTGGATTGCCTCTTCCATCAAACTATTGAAACTTCGGGGGTTGGTAGCCTATTGACATTTGTATCTCATCAATTCATCTGGTATATGGCTTCACATATACTAACAAAGACTGGGGAGCTCCTCCATATTGGGCTCGAATGGTATCAGCAATCATATGTTGAAAGTTGTTGGATAGAGAGTGCGGCAACAGACATTTGAGAAGAATCTCTCATGGCATTTTGTGCCACGGCTCGATCATATTGCTCTTGTTTTTTGTTGTTGTTCTAAAACTTTGGATTTTCTGGCATTTTAGTACCAGACGAACATGAAGTTTTTTGACTGTTTTCTTTTGAAAGTTCTTGCAATTCAAGCCGATTCATGAGTGCAGTGATTTGTACTTCTTTACCTTTAAGGGCTTTAGTCAACTTCTCGACTGTAGCAGTAGGCTGTTGAAGATGTTCTTCAGATTAAGTGACTTTTGTCACCATCACAGGCATAGGCATATCAGAGGCCGAGGAATAATCACCCCACTTCTGTTTAGGAGAAATCTCAGAGTAAGATTCAGTCTTCAAGCCTGTGCTGGAGTGTGTGTCAGGCAAAGAATCGTCTGTCTATTCCTCCAAATCGATAGAAGAATGAGCAGGTTGTCTCTTTCTGCTTGGAAGAGCCTTCCTTTTATTTTGCCTAGATCGATGCTCCATCGATGGCAAAAGTTGAGATTTACCCGCCTTTGTTCTGGCACAGATTATTGGAATTGACTCCTTGACCAGGTCCGTTGACTTGTCGGTGGGAGGAATCACGATGTCTTTAGTTGTCATTGTTGTCAGGCTAGTTGACTTAAGAGATGAGAGGAAGAGAGGGTCCCACCGGGTGTGCCAAAATTTGTAATGACAAATTTCGTGAAATAAACTAACACAAAATAAGGTCAAGTTACAATAGTCAATTTGATTGACTTTAAGTAAAAAAATGTAGTGTTGACTCTCTTTGGCATGCTTCGCACGTGCACTGTCCTCTGATTCTCGGTAAATTTGATGAAGTTGATGAATGTGGTGAAGATGAGGGCCAGATTGGTGTATTTCTCACTCTTTAATTGGTGGTTTTGATAAAAACTAGAGCTGGATCAATGTATCTCATACTCTTCAATTAGATGATGCTTTTGATGAATCTCATCACCGTTCCTCGTTTGAAATGGCTTGAAGATGATTTGGATTTCTTGAAGAAGGACCTTGGCGGTGTGTTCTTCTTCTTGGAGATGAACTTGCAAGGCTTTAAGGCTTTAGTGAACTTCGAGTAGAACTTTGCCGATCGTCCTTTCTCCTTGGCTTCTTCTCCGTCTTTTCTTCTCTCCTGGACCTCTATTTATAATGCTAGGAATAGTTATCCATATAAGAGTCCTTATTACTTTTATATGGGTTTTAGGTAGTGGACTACTCATAAATTTGTAGACTTTAATTAATTTATGGAATTTAAGTCCATCACATTTTACTTTTGAAATTTTATTTAATTTGGGCCTACAGAATTTAAGTTCATTTGAATTTAACAAGTCTAATTAATTGCATTTGGGCTTGTATTATTTAGGCTATGGAATTTAGGTCCAATCCAATTTTATTTATCTAATTAATTTGAGTTCAATTATAAACATTAATTTACTAATTTTTTAATATCTACATTGGCACCGCCGCCTAGTTGTCACAGCGCTCCTTTGCTTAACATCTAGCGCAAACAAGGCCTGCGTGCTCCCAACACTAAGGATTTGACACCTGCTCCAGGGTACTAGCTCCCCTGCTCCTGGTTCCTAGCCTCATGGTGCCCCTTATAGATGTCTTGCTCCTAGCGCCAGTTCCTGGTGCCCCCTCGTAGCGCCTAACTCCCAACGTCCTTTCCTCCTGCACCTGTGTAGCTCCATGCCCAACACCAACTAATGCCTCGTCGACGCCTACCTGTGTGCCAACTTCGACGCCGATTGCTCCATCTGTGCCTACCTCCTCTCCTATGTCAATGGCTTCTTGCATCTCCCCTCCTTCACTCGACAGCGGTCTTCGGTCACCTAGCTCATGGGTAACTTCCCTTGCCTCACTCAACTTGCTACCACTCATGATTATCTCACAAGAAGTTCTCTCTCAAGGGTGAATGGAATGAAAATAAAGGGAAAAACCCCTATTTATAGCCTAAGGTTTTTAAAAATCCTAGCCAATGATGGAATGGGGTAGAGTTTTTGCAGCAAGGAATCTCTTATGGGAAAGAACCATATCAAGAAGGAAAATGGGTCATTAGTCAAAAGAAGTCTTCGCCAGCCAAAGTCCAAATCTAGCTAAATGACCTATTCTCCATGTTTTATTGGAATCAGGGCATTGGGGGACAAATGATGGACCTGGACAAAGACCCAACTCAGGTTGTGAGCCCAACTTGAATAAATGATCTACCTATACGAAACTCAATGGGTCCAACCCAATAGAGATCCACTCCTAGTCAGGCTCATCAAGGCTCCAAGAGCCACATCATCAAGAAGTAGGCAACGCCATTCCAAGAGCCTCATCCACGCCATTTTGGAGTAAGGAGCAAGAAAGTCAACCATGCCATCCTAAGACTTGGTCTTGAGGAGACCNGCTCATCAAGGCTCCAAGAGCCACATCATCAAGAAGTAGGCAACGCCATCCCAAGAGCCTCATCAACGCCATTTTGGAGTAAGGAGCAAGAAAGTCAACCATGCCATCCTAAGACTTGATTTTGAGGAGAGCCCTGCAACAGCCTCATCCGTTGCGAAGATGACACTGCCTCCACTAAATTAGCCTTTTAATTACTGATAAGCCGCTTCAATCTGTTAGGAGGTGACTATAAAATGTAAGCCCCACCTCCACATAAGGGGCATTTCACACAATCTCCCACATCTGGCATCACTCTCATTTCTCTCACAGCTTGTATCTCACATGAGCTCTCATTGCCCTCACCTGATTTCCTTACACTTCTACAACAATAAAACACCCATATCATCCTAGCCCTTCATAGTGGAATAGATCACATTAAGCGAACCACTTAAATTGTGTGTTGTTTTCTTTGAGTTTTCTCTCTCTATTTTTATTATCTGCATTAATTATTTGATAGAAGGTGTGAAAAACCAATCTTTGCGTCATCAATTTGTATTGTTTGTAAGATATGTAGACTTGGAGCTAATTTGTTTAATTCATTTTCCATTGTCAATAAAGTAGTAATGATTTTGACTACTAAATAAGACTCATTGTCATTCCGAGGATAACAAAATATGCAATTAATATATTAAATTCAAATAATGCAATTATTTACATAATTCACACCAAAGAGCATGCATGAGTCTAAATTTTGGGTTTTACACATTAACAACTTTGAAATTTGATATATTTTTACTGTTTTAAAAAATAAAGAAATGTTAAAAATAAATTTTTAAAATGAAAAAAATTACTTCATTAATCATACATTACATTAAGGGAATTTTATATATCAAAATTATCTTTCTAATTTTTTGAAAGTTCGTCGCCTTATATTATTAGTTTAGTATATTGGATAAATTTCCTATCCCGACAAAAAACAAAAATAGAACTCTAGAATTTTCATTCTGAAAGTTTTCTTTTGGGGATAAATATTCATTAATTTGATTAATCTAAATTTCTCCAATTTATAACATGATCTTCTTAATTTTTAATTTTTAATTTTTTTTAAAATATTTAAGAACTTTTAAGCCATGGTGAGCACAATAGTGTAGTTGTGAGTGTGAAACATTGTAGTGTACACACTTGACAAAGCAAACTAGATCGTGATGCATATGTAATTGTTCCTCGACCATGGCTTATTTTGGAAGAAGAACACTTTTCTCTATNTGGTGAGCACAATAGTGTAGTTGTGAGTGTGAAACATTGTAGTGTACACACTTGACGAAGCAAACTAGATCGTGATGCATATGTAATTGTTCCTCGACCATGGCTTATTTTGGAAGAAGAACACTTTTCTCTATCTCTTTCTAGAAAGTAGAAATTCACCCCACCCACGCATCCGCACTGTCTCTGTTCCTCTCTTTCTTCGAGAAATTTTCTCACTCTATAAAGTTGAAACTCACCCCCAAACACCCCCTGTTTCTCTCTCGCTCTTGGTGGGTAGCTTTCCCTTTNCTTTCTCTTTCTAGAAAGTAGAAATTCACCCCACCCACGCATCCGCACTGTCTCTGTTCCTCTCTTTCTTCGAGAAATTTTCTCACTCTAAAAAGTTGAAACTCACCCCCAAACACCCCCTGTTTCTCTCTCGCTCTTGGTGGGTAGCTTTCCCTCTGCAAAATACACTAATGTGGTTAGACTAGCACCTTTAAATGTGTAATTTCTCTCACCTATACAGATTCATTACTCCCTCTCTTTGTATGGATGTGTAAATATACAAGAACGAAATTCTTCAAAAATAAAATTCGTTCTATCTTGGGAGAAATTTGGTTATCAACCTTAAGCACCGAGAGGGATCAAATCACAGGGCTCAAATTATTTGGGATTTCTGGATTTTTTATTATTTAATTTATTGTTGTTCTACATCACTATAAGTGCCTTATTTCAATTTCTGCTTTAACATTCTATTTTAATTAAATAGCTTGTATATAACAATACTTACTGATTTTAGATTTGCCACAGTAATTAATTAGTGAATAATTTCAACAATGTACATACTTTGGATAACAATCTTAAGACAAATTTTGTTTATTGTATAATTAGATTAATTATTGTTATAATCTAACTCAGAATTTTGTATTTTGGTATGTTACTGCATTAGTTTGTTAAAATAAGCATATTTTTTGCTTTTGCTTGTGTAATAGAAATGGCTACAACAAATATCGTTCCTTCTACCGTGANTGCATATCTGCCATGAGAACGAGGGTAAGCTACCGTTTTAATGATGTTTTCATGACCTGAAAAAGTCTAAGTATGGTATAGCAAAATACTCGCAATAAAAAATCACCAATGTGAGTAAGAAATGACCGCTTCTATGAGAATCATAGGCTGACTACTCTAAATTACTCATGAAACCATGTGGTGTTCAATGCTAAAATGAACACAAATGTGAGAACCAATTGTGTCCAAAGGCAAACTATGTGAATTCTATTATCTTGATTTACACAAATAATTGGCAGTTCAAAGATATCAAGTCCACTAATTAGCCAAGTAAATCCAATAATCATTCACTAAGGAAAGTTTATGGCCACTACGCTACTTATTCCGATGCATTAACCTTTTAACTATACTTGAACTAGTGTCTGCATTTTCATACATTAAATTTTCATTAATGTGGGGAATTATTGGAATAATGGTTTTAAAATAATTATTTTTGAGCAACTTTGAGCTTAAATAAAAGTGGAATCCATAGCTCGAAATTGGTGGACAAAGTTTAAATGTGTTCTCCTATGCGAAGAGATTAGCGTGGTATATTTATTTGTTCAAAATCATTAAGTATTGAACGAGAAATTATATCTTAAAGTGACTATTTGAATTGATGGAATAAACTAAGAATGGTGTAGTGGAATACGGCTTGTGCCACATTGGAAGAAGACCAAAACTTTGGTGAGTTAATATACTCCTATTTGGCTTCATGGATTGGACCCCAAGGAGTACCACACTTTTGTGAGCGGGCGCAAGCACCTACACAACCTCAGTTACCACGCACGTGTGCCGTTCGCTCTCCCAACCCGGCCGGGCTTGGGCCTTGGGTCAAAAAGATATTATCATTCTAGAGAAAAAAAAAGTTGATGCGGTGCGGGTTGTGGGTCAACCCAAATGGATCCGAACGTGAATTACAATTAGTCTTCCAATTGAAATTTAAATGTCCAACCAAATTTTAAATTTTTTTGCTTGTTAAATTTGAATTTGGCGCCAAAATTCAATTGAGTCTGTTCATTCCAAAGGTGTCTTTTCTTTTGTTATTGTTCAAATTAAAAAAGTGTGTCTCTTTAATATGAACAATGACATCCTGTACTTCTTCAGGAAATCTGAACAACCACTAAGGGTCTATAAATAGACTGTCACACTGCTATTTTTAATCTTTCCCAAATTCTAAATTTTGTATTCAGTATTTTCTTCGCTCTCTTTGTGTATATTGTTGCATTGTTTTTTTTTATTCGGTGTGTTCGTTGGAATTCTGAAGATTGAAGTGCTATTTCTTCAGAAACAAAATCTGTTATATCTTAGGAATTTTTTGGTTATTAACCTTAAGCACCGAGAGGAAGTAAATATGTTTTATGAAAACTATGATTACACATGATTCGGGTTATTTTGGATTTCTAGATTGCTTGTTATCTTGTTTATTATTGTTCTGCATCACTGTAAGTGCATTATTTTTATTTCTATTTTAACATTCTGTTTCAATTAAATAGTTTGCATAGAACAAATTTTTCTTCTATTTGATTTTAACCACTCTGTGTTTTTTGGGTTCTTTGCGAGCCTCATGACCTCCTCCGAACAAGTACTGGTCCACACGATGGAGTCCGACGAAGATATAGGTGATGCTGGTGGTGGTAGTGGCANACATTCTATTTCAATTAAATAGTTTGCATAGAACAAATTTTTCTTCTATTTGATTTTAACCACTCTGTGTTTTTTGGGTTCTTTGCGAGCCTCATGACCTCCTCCGAACAAGTATTGGTCCACACGATGGAGCCCGACGAAGATAAAGGTGATGCTGGTGGTGGTAGTGGTAGTGGAGGGGTTTGGTTTTTTTAAGTGTGGAAGGTTATGATCAGAGGTGGTTTTAGCCACAATTAGTAAGTTGATCATACAATTTTGATCACCCATCACCACACACCTCCTTCCATTTCAACTGCAACTCGTTGCCATGATCACCCACCACCACACACCTCTTTTTTTTTCAATGCTTAGGTTAATGAATCTGTGATGGATGGATTAACGTGGAGGTGATGAGTTATTGGGTTGGGGGAGGAAGTGTATTGAATTTGTGATGGATCAATCATCACCAGAGAAGAAGAATGAGGAGGGACATTAAAGTCATTTTAGCCTTACTACTAACGGAGTTAAGCAGTGCATTTTAGTGTAACAATCACAGGGGCTATATGCTATTTTAGAATTTAGGGTGGTGA